CCGCTTTTTGCTCTTCACAGAGCGAATGCGGTATCCATCGGGAAAACAACTTTTTTACACCTAATTGTTAATGCAAGATTATTTGTATTTTACTCATGCCAATGTCTAAAGTTGCCTGAATTTCGCGGTATGTCACATGTCGATCTTACTCAATCAGCTTACGCACAGCATCAACGTTTTCTTGGGTGACTGCAGTTTTTGGACGACCTTGACGGGGATCATCACTGAGCTTGACACGTCTACGTTAAAGTTCAGCAAACCAGCGATAAATTGTGGTTTTAGATGGGGCTTCATCACCAAATGCTGAAATCATCCGGTCAACACACTGTTTTTGTGTTAAACCACTTCGAAAGTCATAATAAATCATCGCTCTTGAATTTTCTCGAGTCAATTCCATTTTCTCAACGACTAAACAAGTTTGACAAAACCTTGTGACAAGACCGAGAATCTTTTTTTAAATAAATAAATGGTATTCGATTTTTAAAACCAAGGACTTTTCAATTAAAAAAAAATTATATGACAGGAACAGTGGAAATATTCCATTCCCGATACTTTTAGTGCAGCCCTCGTATAATATATCAGTTTAGTGTATGAAAGTAACAGCCTATATTCGTCCCACCGCTGGGCACAGGCCTCCTCTCATATCTGAGAGGGTTTCAGAGCAAGGAAATGTCCGCCGCGGTGCCCTAATGCGTGTCGGCGAACTTCAAATTTCAAATTTTTATAGACTTCGCGTACTGTCAAATTTACAGTGAGCGCTTAGCCCGTGAACTACCACGGCACAGTGTTTATTTAGTTCAGTGTATACAGCGATATTAGTTTTAATTTTGAGTATGATGCACGTTTATCATTAGGAAAGCAAAACAGTCAACTGTTGGCCTCACGGATTTTTAATATCTGCCACGCTAACACCAACACTAGACATCTTTTGATTCTAAATTGCAACAGCGTCTTCTTTACGTTTGCAGAGTTTTACTTTTAAAACTTAAGTGACGAAATACCTTGAAAACAGAGTCATCATCATTTCATCATTACAGCCCTTCACAAGTCCACTGCTGAACTGCCTCCCACAAGGAATGCCACAAAGCATGATGATTGGTTTGAATTACTAAGAAAATCAATTTTTATTGTGTGAAATGTTTATTCCGAAGCGACGTTTGTCTGTTGTTGAAGCGACATTTCTCATAACTTTAGATATCTTTGGGGCCCGACGCGGTATTACTCGTATTTTATATAGCCCAAGTATCCTACTATTGCAGTTTTGCAGTGTGGATGAAAAGTATAATGGGATGCCGAACGCTCTCTTATGTAAACCTTACTGTTAGAGCCTATCCAAAGTCCACTACTGAACATAGGCTTCCCCCATAGATTGCCACATTGGGAGGATATTTGCCATAGTTGCCTTGCTTGGCAGGCGAGTTGGTAACCGCAGTTTACCAACCCGTCTATTGCGTTTATGCTTCATTGTTTTCTTTTTTTTTTATTTAAGTTACAGTGCGCGGAACTAATCGCAACAATAACTTTATCGACACTTTTTCTACACCGAATAATTTAATTTCTAGTTTTAGTCTAGTTTGTAAGTAATCTAGAATTGGCTTAAATTTTTAGTGAGTCAGCGGGTGACAAAAAAATCGCACTCTTTAGACCTTAATGACTCGAGAACTATAACAGATTTATTCATGAAATTTGGATTTTTTAGGCACTCAAAGAATGCTTATTAGGCCTACATAAGTGTAGGAATAGATCTAAAAGTTTTTAAACCCCGACGCAAAAACAGGGATGTTATAAGTTTTACCGCTATGTGCGTCTGACTGTCTGTGTGTCTGTCTGTGGCGCCGTATGAACCGATTTTGGTGCGGTTTTTTTTCTATAATTCAAGAAAATCTTTTCAGTCGTTTGGAGATCATCAGTTCTTTTGTTTATGGGGGGTTTTTGAAATTTTCAATTTAATATTATTGAGCGGTTCGAAAGTATCTCCAAATGGTTCTTGTAATACACATACTGCTGGTGTGTCACCCTTTTCCTTTCCGAACTTGGCGGACACACTACTGTGTGATTCCATGCATAGTCGCATAGTTATTCGCAGCTGGTCTAGAGTAGGGTAAGATTTTGAAAGGACGCTTAAAAGTCGTCGCTAATTCTAAATTAGCATTCATTAATTCTTCACTCTTAGGAATAACCTTCAATTAAATTTCTAGAACAAGTGTCAATTACGTCAGTCATAAATACAGGAGGGAATAGCTGTGGGCGGTAACCTTATCACCTTTAACAATGGTTCAAGTGACAGCATGCTTATGGTAGAATGAACACCCTTTAATCTATATTTATAAGCCAAGGCTTTTATTTATACTACTAAATGTCACAGCTAGCTTACAGTGGTAATTTTCCTGTAAACATTAAACCACACAAAGGCCAGTAGGTAGAGATCTAGATTTGCATAACATAATTTTATTTATACATGGTAGAGCCACACTGCAGCTATATTATATTTGTAGCAACAATGGGTCAGCTCAACCTGGGAAAGACCACACTCTCACAGAATACCAGTGTAAAATAGCAGTATAATGCTGCTGAGTTTTGTATGTTCCTACACTTATGTAGAGAACCGGACACCCTTTTTATTGGAAATGAGGCATTCCATCTTAGTCTTCAGGTTTTTTTTTTTATAGAATAAGAGTGACAAACTAGCGCACAGTCCATCTGATGGTAAGTGTGTGCTGTGAAGAATGAAAATGACTAGATTCAAATTTTGACATTGTGAATTTGGGTTTAAGCTTGAAACTGCCTTTGAATACCAGCCTTACATGAAGTTTCCTAGAAGTCTATCAGAGCAGAGGCAATATAAACACTGTAAGAACTTCATTGTTAGCATTTTATGTCAATTTAAGTTGCATATAGCCTACATATGCAACTTATTTGTAGCATATTTTCTTTTAACAAGTTAGTAGTAGTAAGAGTGAAATGTTTTTTACGTAATTATTTAATAAATAAAGTAGTGTGCATGAAGTTTTTTATTAGATGATAACACCTTTATCTTGAAAGTCTGCTATCATAAATATGTGACATCATTACCCACCATACTGATACGGATAAACATCCTTTGATAAGGCTCTATATCAAACTACAAAATAATAAAACACAAATAGATGTTATTTGTTATAGTCTTTGTGTTTATAACTTCAATGGATTTGATTGACATTTCCTGTCCCTTTCCTGACAATAAAACTTAAGTTTTAAATTGATGAGTTAATGTTAATATACTGTTACATGTACCATGGTATTACTTATCTCAACACAAAAATAATTAAAAATTAAAAATGTTGTACAGCCATCTTCAATATAAATTATTAAGAATAACTTAAAAACCATTGGTCAGATCTTGATCAAATTTATATGGGACCACATGAGAAGCAACAGCATTCAGAAAAAAAGAATCATTGAAATTGGTTCACCCAGAAAAAAGTTATGAGGTAACTCACATAAAAAAACATACAGTCAAATTGAGTACCTTTTTGAAGTCGGTAGAAAATCAATGAGACAATACTGGAGTCCATTTAATGCTAAGAAGCCTCTGATGAGCATCTGCAGCCCTCTTCAAATAGAGAAACACCAGTCATTCTTCATAAATAAGATGAAATATTAAATTGGCATATAATTTAATCATTATTCTGTATCTTCTTTTCAGTACACTCTTAGAATTTAATGGCAGCCTGTGTAATACATGTTTAAAATTATTCAGCTAATGCAGTTTCAAAGCTACTGGATTCATGAGCACGGGAGATCAAACATACTTATGTCCAGTTGGATTTTTTTTTAAATGGGCCCCAACTTCATTTTCATATAATATGGCTCCACTGGCACAATGCTACTTAGCTTTAGGCCGGTCACATACATACGGAATTCCGTTTCGAGAATCTGTTTCGGAATTCCGTATGGGTCGGCCACACACATACGGAATCCCGTTTTGGGCGAAAACTTTCGAACGGATAACTACCGTACGTGTGTGGCGGGTCATAGATTTTATATGAACAGGCTGCGTTCGGAATCTCGAATCGGAATATCGAAACGGAATCCCGAAACGGAATTCCATATGTATGTGGCGGGCCTTAATTTTTTGTTGAAAAACATTTATATCTACTATTAATAAGCTCTTGTGCGATTATTTGAGGTTTATACAAAACATAAGTCAATAGAACTAGGTACCAAGGAAATGCAGTTTAGGCTTCATCTACTCCCAATTTGATAAGCACTCATAAAATAACCATTTAGATTTTCAATTAACATTGTATGAATTTTTAATTCCATTAAATACTGCAATCTTCATAAGTTTTAGTTTTATGAAAAGATTAAAAAGTCTACTGTTTAATGATTTCTTAGTTTCATTTAATTGTACTTATTTTATTATTCCTGACATTTCGGGTGCTTTCCAGCACCGAAGGTCACAGGGGACTGAAGTGATTGATGTCCCGTTAAAAAAATACAATTAAACACAATAAAATCTGTAAAAGTAGTTTTATTCAAGCGTATTGTTGATGAAGATGATCATATACAATAAATTTTATTTTGGTTAATTAATTTGATTGTTTTCAAATAATCTATTTAAATATTGCATAATAAAGTAGTTTAGTAAAATTGTTTAAAGCTTAAATGATTAAGTAATTGATAAAAACGCTACACTTAACTTAAGTATTCAGTGACAATATCGAGTACACTAAATTTATTATTTATCTTAAAATCTATGCAGTACAATTTAGACTTTTCAGTCCTTTTAGGTTGTGAAGCATAGATAATATACTACATAAGGCATTGTGAAGTTTGTGTTTTCGTCTCTGAATACTGAATACTGGCATAAGACATTTATTAGTGGGTGGATAAGACTATACATTATTTTTTAATTTGAAGGTAGGCAGAAACTACAGTTAAAAATTTAATAATGTAATAATAGAACCAGAATTCCAATGTAATAGGTATACTTATAAGGTAAAAACGAAGTGACTCACCCGTTGCAATTCCACGGAGTGTTGGTAACATCTCAAAAGCTTATCCACTAAAGGTTTTACAGCGCGCCAGGCTCGTTCTTGAGTAACTCGTGAAGGATCTGCTATAGCTTCACGGATTTCTTTTCCAGCTCCTTTATAGCACTGTATTTCTTCCAGGATTTTTTCTGAATCCAGGAGAACTCTTTGAACTTCTTCAAAAACATCGCGCTCAGTGTCTGTGGGTGCAGCATTCTCGAAATCCAAGAAAATATCGTATCGAGGCGACGAACAGCAGTTCGAATCGTCGCGTGCCAAAAGACTCAACAATTTTCCCATTTTATAGAAAATAAATTTGATTTATTTAAGTATATATTATAAATATTTCACTGATAGCAATAACAGCATTTCCTATACGTCAATTATGTATGACTTAAAGGTTAATGCTTATACAGAATCACTTGCACTGATAAAATAATCACAAAAATATACAATTGTTTATTATAATATCGTTTAATACGTTTAATGAAAAAGTAAACCTAACCAATAACATACACTCCAAATGAACCGTGCCGCCCGCCTAAGGGTATTAGTGTTCTGTGGCCCCACTGCCCACCACAGACTAACTAGAGCTAGACATTACCATTAGTGACTATAGACAAGGGGCTTTTTTTTTGGAGTTTATGGCCTGGTATCTAGACCTTTAGGCCAGGACAAGGGGGTAGAGACTAGCTTGCTACATATATATTTATCTATGGTAGAGACTAGGAAACTAGAGATAACCCCACCAATTGACCACAGACTTAGGAATAAAATAATCGATTCCTTGATGGTCTCGATACTTTTGTTTCGATGTTAAGTATTTTTGAATCGAGTACTTATGCCCTGATAAACTAGGAATTGTTACTTTTATATGTTTTAAGCATCAAACTAAAGGCTTTGTTAGTATAGAGAGTAGGTACAACAAAAAGCATTAAGCTCACAAAAAGTAAATAAAGCACCCGGACCAGACAAGATTACAAATGAGACTCTATAAGGAACATCTGAGGAATTATGTCCAATACTAGCAAGAATGTTTACTGAATTCTTATATAGAGGTCAAATACCGAAGCAATGGTCAAAATCAAATATTATATTAATACACAAAAACGGTGCAAACGATGAAATAGATAATTACAGACCAATCAGCGTAATGTCGAGCATTTACAAAATATTCGCAAAAATAATTCTTGACAGATTCACTCCTCAATTAGACGAAAACCAACCAATAGAACAGGCGGGTTTTAGACGTAACTTTTCGACCATGGCACTCTACTTGGCCTTTGTAGATTATAAAAAAGCATTTGATAGTTTATACCAAGAAATCATCTGGGAGAGTCTAGAAAGGCAAGGAATTCACAAAACGGACATAAAAATATTAAAACAAGTCTACGATAAATACTCAGCAAGAATTTACTTCACCACCTCAGATTCGCCGACGACATCGTTTTATTCAAAGACAATCCTAAGACACTTGAGAGAATGATACAAGATCTATCAAATGAAAGTAAAAAAGCTGGTTTGGAAAAGAACGAATCAGATACCAATAGCTGTTGACGGTGAAGTACTAAAATATGTAGAAGAATACACTTACTTAGGCCAAATCATATCACTGAAAGACCTAACATCTAAGGAAATAAATAAAAAAATAGCGAATGGGTGGAAAAAGTATTGGTCGCTAAAAGAAATAATGAAGAGCAAAGAATTGGGAGTGGCAGGAAAACTAAAAGTGTTTGAAATGTGTATTCTTCCCTGCTTAACATACGGATGCGAATCTTGGGCACTTACAGCTTCACACAGAAATAAATTGTTAACATGCCAACGAGCGATGGAGAGAAGCATGATTGATATAAAGAAAACCGACCGGGTTAGGAACGAAGACACTCGAAACAAAACCCAAGTATCTGATATTCTACAAAGAATAGACTTACAAAAGTGGAGATGGACTGGATACATGCTTAGGAACCGTCAAGAAAAATGGATCCAAATTGTCACTAATTGGTATCCAAGAGATGGCAAAAGGAGCAGGGGTGATCAGCGTAGAAGGTGGGAAGATGACTTAAAAAATATGGCTGGACCTTATTGGCGACTCCACCGGAAACAATGGAAAGTCTGGAGGAGGCCTTTGTCAATAGACATTCCGAAATCAGGGACTTTATATACTAAACATATTGTTATGCTAATAGTCTTGTTATGTTGAGTCTTGTTTTAATTAATTTAAATATTTAATAATAATAAACTAAATAAATGTAAGTGTACTGCTTAATTTATATAAGATATGACATCAAAGACTTATTCATTAATAAGTTAATTTTTAAATGTCATAATGTATTATATTAAAATATTTTAATAATGTTCATAATTGATAATGATATTAATGGTAGTACGAATTGAATAAGGTCAATTTATATATAAATAAAAATTAATTGAATTTTTTTGATTTTGGAAATAAAAGGCTATTTTATTTTATTTTATATTATTTATTTTTGAATCGAGTATTTATGCCCTGATAAACTAGGAATTGTTACTTTTATATGTTTTAAGCTTCAAACTAAAGGCGTTGTTAGCATAGAGAGTAGGTACCCGGTGCGGATATTGTGATGTATAGTACATAAATACATAGTAAAAAAATTGATGATATTCAACACTATAATATACTCGTGACAATCTAAGAAGCCCGATTTGATAGCTATAAAAATACTGTGTGTAATGATGAGAAAAAAAATTGTTTGCTTTAAAAACTGATTCTCAAGACATATCGATTATTTAGAGTTTGTAATGGACAATGTATCTACATCGTTTAAAATTTATTCTCATGGCATATCGTTTTAATACAATTACGAGTTTGTAATATTTAACAGTTATTACAACAATCCAAACTAAGTTTAAATGTGGGCCAGTTTTAAAACCAAGACATAAACTAAAACCTGACATACTCATTTATTTCGGAATACTTACGTATAATAATACATTATATATTATGTAAGTACGCCACTGATATGCACCCCTACGACGACGAAGCGTCAAAATGTACGTCTCTTCTAAAGTCTTCCTTTATAATTTTCTTTATCCTTTCTACTACATTGATCCAATCATCTTTTGTGACGTGTGCACATGCTTCTTTAAGAAGACCAAGCATTTTTTGTGGTGAATGGAGCTCTTGTATTTTGACGTGCAGTGTAACGACAATCTAAAAAGCCCGATTTAACGTTTCTCATTACACATGCCGCGATAACTTTGTATGAACGTCTACGTAAGAAATTGAAAAATCAAATTCATAATCCCAAATAATTACTATGTTATTCATACAGTATAACAATGAGTATCATTCGTAAGCACAAAGTTTCACTTTATATTGGAAAAATGCACTTAAAACACGAATTAATCGTCGATTAATATTCCGACAGGACGTTATTACAATGCCATGTCTGTTATATCTTTGGGTTCGTTGCCGTAGTGTTGTGACCGATATAAATAGTTTTTTGACCAAATCGATGTTCTAAAAAATCGATACTTTTACATTTAGAAAAGAGAGAAACGTATTATTTAATGTTTAAACTTATAAAAGCAAAATCTGACCAAATATATTTCTAGATTTATTTTGATATTTAATATGTTAATATTGCAAATAGTTTGGCTAAAAAGGCCGGAGTTCATACTTTGATTTTGCAAAAACTAGATCTTATATTAAAGAGGAGGTACTCTTAACAGCCAGTCTCGTGACTTGGTTTTGAATTTGCACGAGTACTTTGAACGAGAGTCAGCAAATAGAAGGCCTCTATTAGAAGTTACGCAAGTACAAGAACGAGTCACACAAGTACTTGGAATTAGCATAAACCTGTCCGGAGTATTATAAAGGCAAATACGGGCCAGGTCAAGAGTACCCTAAACCGTAGAGCATGTAAGAAGAGAATAATGAAAGTGGACGAAGCAAAACAAGTATGTAAGGATCGTAGCAAGTGGAAAGAACTGGTATCTGCCTACCCCTACGGGAAAGAGGCGTGATTATATTTATGTATGTATGTATGTAAATACGGGCCTTCTGGCTGTGAAGATAATGTACTGCACATACCAAAAAAGCGGAAAATAAAAACAAAAACCAGTGACAGGTATCGATAATTTTGATGCTGATACTATTAGATCCCATATTTACGGCTATTACACAAGACAAGAACACCCCACCGTAAGTAAATTACTTGTGTCCCTTAAATCTGCAAACCTATATGATGGCAGTGCAACATCTATTAAAACGATTCTAAAAAATATTGGGTTTCATACAAAAAAAAAGCAGACAAACGGAAAATATTCATGGAAAGGTATGACTTAATACTACAAAGAGGATTCTTCTTAAGAGAAGTTAATAAAATAACCAACTGGGACAAGGTAATATTTATTGATGAGACATAGTTAACCTCTTTTACAGGCTATGCTGTACGCCAAAATACAAGACATCCATTCACCACAAAAAATGCTTGGTCTTCTTAAAGAAGCATGTGCACGCGTCACAAAAGATGATTGGATCAATTTAGTAGAAAGGACAAAGAAAATTATAACGGAAGACTTTAGAAGAGAGGTACATTTTGACAATTTGATTGAAAATGAATTTATTATAAAGTTAACCGATGAAGACAGTTCAAATGATGATAAATTTTTCTGGATCATCCAGTGAGGAAAGTGAATAAAAATGTTACGAATTTACTGAATTTATTTATTTACCTGATCCAACCACACTTATTTATTGTTAATTTTATTCTTGAATAGGACCCGCTTCGGCGTCGTACGGTGCATATCAGTGGCGTGCCTATATAATATATAATTTATTATTATACGTAAGCCTTCTGGAATAAATGAGTATGTCAGGTTTTAGTTTATGTCTTGGCTTTAAAACTGGCCGAAATTTAAACTTAGTTTGGATTGATGATAAACTGTTAAATATTACAAACTCGTAATTGTATTAAAACGATGTAGATACCTACATTGTCCATTACAAACTCTAAATAATCGATATGTCTTGAGAATCAGTTCTTAAAGCAACTAATTTTTTTCCCCATCATTACACAAAGTATTTTTATAGCTGTCAAATCGGGCTTCTTAGATTGTCACGAGAATATATCAATAAAAGTATCGAGTAGGTATCGTATAAAAACGATAAAGCATCGATACTTTTATTTCGTTATCAGAGTACGTACAGTACACAAAATTGACTCAAGAAGAAAACAGCGTTGCAAGTACTTGAATTTTATTCCACTGTATGTGATATTAAATAGTAAGCCGCTGGACGTGGAGCTTTTCCATCGTAT